GGGCCAGGTCACCATACACACTTTCACCATTCCTAACAACCTCCCCAAAAGCTTTTGCTGCCAACAGAGCCAGGATATTGTGCTAGAGACTCTTGGTGTTAGCCAGTATGGTTCCACTGTTGTTGTTCGGACAACTTGTTTGCTAAATTTAGGAAACATAAGGAAACATTTTGGTAAGAATTTCAGATTTATTTTATTTTTTATTATTAAACACAGTCTTCTTTCATCTCTGCTATTTGCATTCTTAAAAACGTTTTCAAACTGTGATTTGGGATATAGTAAATCTTCATGCCTATGCTTTCCATTTGCCTTTCCTGAACAAAGGATTAGGTAAGGTAAATGGGTAAAATCACATTCCATCCCTGCAGGGGTGGCATGCCTGAAAGCTAGGCTACAAGGTCACCAACTACTGTCCCACATATCTATCTCAGCTATTCATAATTTTGCACATCAGATTAGCAGTTGGCAGTGGTCTGAATTCTGAAAGAACATAATGCATTTTAATGATGTCCAGTAGACAGCTAAGCTCTCTGGAATTGTGGTATAGTTGTGAAAACATATACAGACCTCAAAATAGTTAGCTAATTAGAGTTTTTCATTGCTCAGGCATTTTGGCAGGTTCCTACTGGGTCACAGAAATATCGGAGATTAACTTCATTTAAAATTTACTACTGATTTATGTATTCTAACCACTACTTATCACTGCATTTACCCATATTTTTTATGTGATTTTAGACATGCTTACTCTGAGAAGAAATAATCCCCACATGCAACACTTTGATAATCCTTCAAATATGGAAAATCTTTTCCAGATACTTAAATTTAGCATACAGACAGATACCTGCATCAGAAAGAGGAATGCACCTTGCCTACATTGCCTGTTAATTAATACATCCATAGCATCTCTGCAGTCAATGAACAAGCTAAAAATTCATGGTTTGTAAACTACCAGTCAGTGTAGAACAAGCATGTGACCAATTTGTGTTTCAATGTCCCAGATAGGCTGTTTTTGCTTGGCAAACTGAAGTAGTGTTTAGCTGAGGGAGCGATTCACACAAAGTTAAGGAACATGTTGACATGAGAAAAATCTTCAGGAACTGCAGGATCTTCACTGTGAAGAGCACTAGGAAATGCTCCGTCATCTCCCTGTTATCTCACCTTTTTTGAAGTGGCAGCTTGGTATGCTACTTTGGTGAAAAACTACATACATTTATTACAATGCATGCAACGTATTTGGGCCAGACATGGCAAAAAGTAAACTGAACTTTCCAGTACTTCCTCAATTCACACAGAAGTGCAAAATTTACTGCTTGCTTGACTTGCCATCTGGATTGGAGGCTAAGCAGAGAATTATAGTAAACTAGCACCTGAAAAATCTACACTTTTCTAAACATTTTTCATAGGAAAGTCTTTCACAAGTTTATAATAAAAATTTACACATCAATTGACACACATTTCATAGCTGATGCTGTGAAAAAAAGAGAAGTTGCTGCCAAGATTAAAATGCACAAAAATAAAATGTAAATGTGAAATCCTATTACGTTTCTTAAAGGGAACAAGCCAGTTATTTGAAAGAACACTTTAATGTGCAGCTATAAAATTTAACATTATGTCTGCACAATTTAGATATATATTTATAAGCTGCAAATATACATACCTCATAACTATTTATGCAACTTTAATAGTGTGCAATTTTTACTTGTAAATGTGAGTTTGAAAAGATGCAATTTTACCATCGTATTTTTGCATTTTTCCCAAATGCTCAAGGCTTTAATGCTGTTTGCCACTTAATTATTCTTTGAAGTTAAAACATTATTTAGTAGTCTCTGTGCTGTGATTTTCAAGCATAGTATCAAATCTATCCTTAAGTCACGAGTTAGGTTTTCAACTGTCACAAGCGTGTCATATAATGTTTCTATAATGTACCAATTTCATGTTAAAGGAATTTATTATTATCATCATCATCATCATCATTATTTTGGTTTGGCCTTTTTATTAGTAACCACACTGCTCTTATGATTAGAAATTCTGATTTCCAGTTCTTATCCAGTTGTTTACATCATACGATAAGCATCTCTTTACTGCCATTTGTTTCTACCCCATGGTTACACTTTCAAGAAAAATCAGATTCTTTATCAGCCTTCATATTTTTTCAGCTAATGAGAATCTCCATGTAAATAGAACCTCTATTTTCATCAAATGCCAAGTAGTCCTTAGCACCTGCACATTGGTCCTGAAAACTGATGATCAGAGTTGTACATGCTGTTATTAGTAGTATTTTGACAGTGTTAATATTTCCCTCTCTCTGTTGGCCATTATTTACCTACTTCACCCTCAGAATACATTCCCCTTTTCCACAGCACAACACACTGATGGTTTGTAGTCACACTGTGATCAACTGACATTCCTGGATCTTTATTATCGTCTGTCATTTCCAGATGATGTGCTCTCACTAAATCTAACGGTAAAATTACAAGTGTGTGATGTGGCCCAAATAATCTCATTTCTGTATGTGCTAAGGAACTAGTACTTCTGCTGATTTGCATGTGATTATCAATGTTGAAAATCAGTCCAGAAGAAACACAAGCTTGTTGTATATAAAGTATTTCTGATAAGAAGGTAAGCTTACAAGAATATCAGGTTTTCCAGATAAGATCAAAGGATGTGCACTGAGCATACAAATAATACAAACGCAAGCCAAAATTTGAGCTGAGACAGGTCATCTGTTTACAAGAGGCATGCAGCTTCTCTTTGAGATTTTTAAATCGTCCTTTTGCTCTGTTTACAACTACGTGACCTTCTATCACAGAAAGGATGTACTGCCCTATTCCTGGAAATATTTTTTGTACTTTCACACCATTCTTCCCATCTTTTTAGCCAGCTGCTATGAGTGGTGGTGCCTCTACCATTTCAATTCTGTTAGAGGTTGCTCAACAAGTCAAATTTAACAAATCAGTCCAGTTCTTAATGATATCTGGATGACATTAGAAAGAACATTTCCTTATATTGAGGAAAACTGCAGTTTACCTACCAGATATGCTAAAACAGTCACAATGATATAATCTCACGGAATCATAAAATCATTTAGGTTTGAAAAGACCTTTAAGATCCTCAAGTCCAGCCATCAACCTAACACTATCAAGCCCACCACTAAACCACGTTCCAAAACAGCACATCCACACATCTCTTAAACACTTCCGGGGATGGGGACTCCACTACTTCCCTCTGCAGCTTGTTGCAGTATCTAACTACCCCTTCCATGAACTAACTCTTTATGACATCTAATCTAAACCTCCCCTGGTGCAAATTGAGGTCATTTCCTCACATACCATCACTTACCACCTGTGAAAAGAGACTGTCACACTGCACACTGCAACTGTCTTTCAGGTAGTTTTAGAGACTGTTAAGGTCTCCCCACAGCCTCCTTTTTCTCCAGAGTAAATCCCAGTTCCCTCAGCCACTCTTCATGTCTTTTTTTTTTTTTTTTTTTTTTTTTTTTTTTTTTTTAAGGAACCACATTCTAGGAAGGAATTAAGGGTAAAGTATTCTTCTCCAACCTGCCATCCCTGATATTTCAGGACTGTGCACTTCAAAAATACACACAAAACCCAGTCGAATGAAAACAAACCAAGATCTCAAAAATTATCAGTTCACTACATCAGATTATAATGCAAGGACAGAGAAAAAAGAAGTGGAAATAACAGACTCATTAATCAAACTACATTGCTTAATATGCAAGTAAAAAGTGTGCAGGTTCAATATAATAAGGCTAGAAGTAAGAACCTACATTAGAATAGGAGTACCTTTATGTAAAAAGAAAATCCTTGAGAAGGAAGTTATTTTCTGAATTACTGGAATATATTAAATGTGAATTAAACACCTACTTAGATACTTCCCAGAAATGTAACTACAAAGGCACTGTACAAATTCTCAGTCTCATTCTTGTCACTAAAAACATAGCAGCATTTCCCCAGGTAGGTCTACCTCCAGTAAAATATTTTGAACCCCATTTACACTAAGAGAACACTTGAAATCTTCATTTATATTGAAGTAATACGAACTGTCATTCTCATTCAACAGCAAATATGCTTGCCTTGAAATTCTTAGGAAATTTTCAGTTTAGAAACCTTTTTATAAGACACTATTATAAGCTAAGGTAAAAACAGTTATTGATTAAAAACATATATTTGTAGGAAAAGATATGTAGTACACTTGTGAATTTCACCTAAACATATTCTAGAACATAAGAATAATGTGATTTTAAAAACTCTTTTAACAGTTAGCATTTCAAGAATTTTGAAACAAAGAAATAGAAAATCAAAATAAATAAATAGGTGAACTACAAGGGTACAAAGTAAAACAGACTTGTGATTTATTTATTTTTTTTTTTTTTTTGGAGATGAGTAGTCAATAAAAGAAATTCCACCATAGTATTAAATTCCACTTCACAGTAACATGGTACAATACATATGTTATAATGAAGCAAACACGACCAGCATTGTTCCCAGCACTGAGACACATTTGCCTCAGTCACTTTATCTCTCTTTAGGTGGAAAGGTATTAACAAATATTACAAGACAAATTATCTCTATGTAAGCTTCAAGAACAAATGCTTGGCCACTGTTTAGATTAATTTATTGAATTTGCTGGGCTATTATTCACGCTGGAGGAGATGGTAAGGCTTTTTGTTTCCAGAGAAAAAGAATGCAGGACAAGTCCTTCAGCCACCATCACTGCTGCACACTGCACTTATGGGGAAGGAGATACTACACAGCAGAGAGAAGTATAATGTATAGAGGCAACTGTCAGATCTGTCCTAGAACTCTTGGACTTAAATTAACTTGTATTAATTTGCTTGATCAAGGGATGTCACAAAGGAATATCCTGCAGGGAAAGTCCGTTAACATTTGCAGCATTGTAAATGCTACAATCCAAAAGACTGGATTCTATGCAAAAAACTCCTGCCATATTCCAGCTCTTACAAAATTTCATACATTTACCTGCCCCCATGATGAGTCCTGGTGCAGTATCCTTTGTATGGACTGTTCCTGACACATAGGGATTATCTGCCCAGCGGAGATGGAGGTGAAGGTAGCAATCAGGCTTGTAGGGGAAGAAGAAGATGACAGGTGTTAAAAAAAAAAGTTAACAATTATGTTTGTATCATAATGAAAGCTCAGTCAGAGAGCAGCTTCAGCTGTGTGTCTTTATAGAGAAAGAGAATGTCTGTTTCCCATGGAGCCAAAGTCCAGACCAAAATATTAACCTAAACTAACTATCAAAAACCTCTGATGCTGTCCATAGTCCTCTGCTGTCCTCCGATAATTTCCATAGTATTCCACTACCTCAATAAACAAGATTTACAAACTCAAAGAAGTCAGCATGAAATTACTATATAAAAAAAAAATCCTTGTGACAGAACTGCTTAAAAACTATCTAGCAGCAATGGCAATAATCGTTAACAACAGTCTAACAAAGAACAAAATACTATGGGTAGCTGGGACACATAAGCAAAAGGAAATAACATCCTCTTGCAAAAAGAAAGGATTTTTTTGATTCAATTAATTGTGATGTTTATTTACAAGCAAGAGTTCCCTTTGACAAGATTATCTTGGATTAAGATGAAACAAAAACATGAAAGATGAAAACAGAAAAAGGTATTGGTAAGATATGTTTGATTGAAAATGTGCCCCTTATGCCCAGACACAACTTACTGTTGTCATGATTATCCAAAAATGAGTTGTGTGGTTGGCACACAAGAAAAATATCATCTTTGTGTCAAACTAAGCTCTAAAATATTCTGCAGTGCTACAAACAGTCATGACTCATTCTACAAGATGACTGGACTAACAGCGTACCAAACCAGTGCTCGTGTCATGTAAGTAGATTTGTCTATTAGTTTAGCTTGTAAACACTGCACAAAGCTCTTGGGCTGCCTGCACTACTGCACATCCCGCCCATACAAATAATCCTCGTGGACTTCAGAGAGAGGATAAGACCACTTACAGGTTTGCAGTTTGTCGGTTTGCCATTCATATCAATGTCCGGAGGGTTTAGAAAATCCCAGTCACGGCCTTTGTTGTAGGTTATTAGAGTTGTAACTTTCCCATCAATCTTCTGGTTAGCCAGAAAGACTCCTTTTACACCTCTGACCTGAAACATAAATGAGAAAGCGTTAATGACCAGAACATACACGTTTTTTCAGCAAGGATTACTGCTGATCAGCTGCTCTTTTGTGGCTCTAAACTGTGTACTTCTGGTAGTTTCTCCACTAGGAAAGTGAATGATACCTTAGTGCCTTATTCTATGCTACTGGCAAAATTCCCTAATGCATTTCTGCATTTTTATTTTTAATGTGGACATATCTAAAACATTATTCTGCAAATTACAGAATCAATTTATAACTGCAACATGACTTTTACACTGTAGTCATGTGACCCACATCACATAAATACTACTCAGAATGGTTAAAATAACAAAATATAATATAACGTCCTTTAAAAAATAACACTGAATTAGCAAGCACACTTATTTATTGCAGTAAATAAATGCAGACAGATCTTCTGGGGCAGAAATAGCAAGGACTGAAATATCCTCTCAAGCATCTGAAATGATTCCAGACCCAGTCTAACTCCACAAACTCCCTCCATGAGTTTATCCTCTGAAAAAAAATAGGTTACAGGCTCTCTTTTCCTGGGCACATTGAATTGTTTTATTTCAAAATTATCTGCATTAGAAAGCTATTACAACCTAGAGTGTCAAAGATAATGAGTATCATATTTTAGAAGTGCCCTTGGGAGTATTTGTACCTTATTTTTTTTAGTTCTAGCCCTAGCATCAGCCCTGATCTTAAGAGACTTTCCTTCTATTTAATAAAAAAAGTCAACAGAAAAATTAACTGCAAGAAACAAACAAAAATCCATATGAATCTTTCATCTCATAACTCCCACTGTGCTGACAAGATATACTGGAATATCTATCCTTTGTAAGCACCCTGGGCCTACTAATGAATTACATCAGTCTTAATGCCAGTTCAGCTCCTGAGGAAGATAATACAACCAGGCCCAAGAGTTCACCCTTCCCAGTGGCAGCTTCTGTACCCTTTCCCCTCCATGATTGCTAATACTACCATGGAGGTAAAACCCAAACCAACATATAATGTCCTTAATAAGTAGCACATCTTTTACTATAGAATGTTCAATCTATGCTAAAAAAAATATTTTTATTTGTACCATACCTGCTGCAATTCAGAGCTTTTGCCTTTGCATACAAGTAAAAAAAACCAAACAACCACAAAGTTACCCGAGTGATATAACCCAGGCTGTGAAATTATAGCAGAATGGATGCATTTATACCTGTTAAGGTTTGGCAATAGGGATTTGTATAGCTATGTAATTACAGAACGAAGTAGACTCAAGCTCTTTGGTACTCTACATGATCAGTACAAGGTGTTTAAAAGGAGACCCACCAGTTAAGATACATAAATATCCCAGAACCTGTTTGGTTCAACACCCTGACACCTCCACAATAAGCGTCAACTAAAAAACTATGACTGGCCAAGGCCTGGGATTTCTTCACCAAGAAGACACTTATGTGACAATAACTTTGCCATGCACATGTCTGATACCTTCCTTGGGAAAAAGGCAGGTAGGAACATTCTGCCTAAGAATGCTCTGATTTCTATAGATTTTATTTTGAGTCATACAGATAAAGTGCAAGAGCATCAGTCATGGTGAGCATTATATATTTTTTTCCCTTTGATAAAAGGTTGAAAATATTTTAAAAATCAAAGAAAACTTGACATTGATGTGGTAATGTCTCTATGTTAGTTACAAGACAGCAAATTCTGAAATTTATTTAATATTTTAATATTCCACCCAGTGGTGTGAGGTAAGATCTTGCATTAAGTTTCAAGGTTTCCTTTGGAGTGCCCCTGTTTACCTTACACTTATTTACAAGGTTTTTTGAATTTTGTAAAAATTCTAGAAAATGTGTATCAACTTACATCAACATAAAAATGTGTATCACCATTTACAGCACAGTATAGCAACACTGAAGCAGTCATTTCAACTAAAGGCACAACACAGCCAGGTCTCAGCATGAGCAGGAATGTTTGTCTCTTGCTGACACGATTCAGTCTTGGACTATTTGCTTTTTATCAGAAACACTTACTGGCTTTTAGTTTTGTTGTTCTTTTTTTTTTTTTTTTCCCCCAACTACAATTTATTAACTCCCTTTAATATTCATTTTAGAAAAGATCTGCATTTAGGTTGAAGAGAAAGCATCTAAACAAGTAGGCTACAGACTTGATGCATATTGTTCATTAATATGATCTATTTTGTTTTCTTGACTGAATTCTACAGAGAGTAAGAAAGTTCTGCCAGTTACAGTAATAGCCTAGAACCTGAAAATATATTAAGTCTAGAGAATCAAATTTTCTATAGATGTTTTGCTACTCTGTCATTTTACATCTCTCTGATGAACTCTTTCTTACTTAAACCCCATGCACATGCGATCAGCTGACTTTTCCAGGATTCTAGAAGCTATGCATCACCTCCCAGTCAAACATAACAGTAAGGTACTTGGCAGTGATAAAGGGAAAGAGAAGGAGAAAATAAGGAACGTGCATTCTTTACTTTCAAAGATATTTCAACTTGCTAGGGGTTTATTATGTATTCCACCTTCCGAAGACAGCATAGAGATGAGTATGAGTGAAATGCCTAGCAGTTCAAACATGTACTGGGAAAGGTAGACTTGGCTTTCAATTTCTGTGCATGTAGTTTTTTGCAGTGAAGACTATTAAATATTTAAACAATAATTAGATCAGGGACTGCAACTGAAGTTTCCCTCTTCATATGTGGATGGCAAAACCAGCAATGTATCATGAATATTTTTGTTTCTTCTCTCATTCTTGTTTAATGAATATTCAATCATTCTATATAATCATTCAGGGAGAGTCAGACTGAAAATGCTTTCCATTCCCACTCCCATCTCTAATGTAACCAGGTGGCTAGGGTAACCTCTCCTCTGCAGAATGTGGGAGATAGAGGTTTGAATCCTATCAGGCTAAAAAAGGCCATAAAAAAAATGTATTCCAGTGTCCCAGTTAACTGTTGTCACTGTTGCTCTGAAAGATAAAAGCTGACCAGCACTTCAGCAGCTCTGTTTTGAAATAAAGGCATAACCCTGCCTTAAAAAATAAGAGATTCCAGGCATCTATCTTCAGAGAAAATTCAGAAGTATGATATTTGGAGAGGTGCATTAGGCTAAAAAAAAAAATAAAAAAAAATAAAAAAAAGCACATTAAAAACAAAACAAAACAACCTACTATAAAAATTACAGTGCATAAAAATGGCAGCTTTAAAACACCCTTCTCCCTGTATAGAATTTTCTATTGTATTTGTCTTGTGACCTTTGTAAATTCACACCTGACTCTCTGTAAATATTTAAAGTGTTATATGACAAATTTACCTTCTGGATTCAATTGTGACGGCACTTCTGCACTTTCTAATTCAGTTCCCTAGTCTACCACTGTGAGATTAGTATATTTCTATGAAAAAGGGAAGAGTCACATACGGCAAATAAGGTCCTATGCAAAATAGGACATTTAGGCACTGGGGAGTGCTCAGCTACTTTGATGAGCAGCCTACTAGCTAACTACTGAGCTACCTAAGATGCAAAACTAGTAGCTATCTAGAGTAGTTACCCAAGGCAGGAAATTCAGAAATGTCATTCCTTTGGTTTTCCTTGGATCTTTGGGAAGATCCAAGAGCAGCTCTCAGATCTCAGAGCAGCTATTTTTCAAAAACAGTTCAAGGGTTAGTGGCTCCCCAACAATTTTAGAAAAGTCCTTTGTACCTCATAGCACTATTTTGTAAGCAGTTTTGCTGCTATGGCTGTGTATTCAGTGACACATTATTTTCTGCACTGTTTGATTTTCTTTTAGTAACAGTTGAATAATATTCTATATTAGTTGGGAACCAAGAGGCGGCATTCAGATGGTCCCAGAGTGTTTATTATCAGCAGTTACTGAAATACAAAAAATACATCTGTATATCATAAGTTTATGATTAAAATTGAAATACTTAAGATTTGTTGTTTAGGAAAGAAAGTAAATAGGAAGAATGTATGCTGCCAGTTGTATAGCTCTTTTTCATATAGGAGGCATAACAGGATCCAGCCTAGAAGTAGTATTTTCAAACATGCTTGTGTCAAATTCCTTACTGGTTCATAGTTTGGCAGCACTTGATACAAATTTCAAGGGCATGCTGCTTTGGTATAGTCACTTAATACTTTGCTTTTCCTTTTTTTTTTTTTTTTTTGTTCTATGATGCCAATATTTGACAATTATTTCATATTCACATTTGTGATGTGAGCAGAAATGAAATATGGTACAAAAGATAAAGTGTATAAGAGAAAATTAATGCAGACAAGTAAAAGAGTTTATGGCAGATGAAGATGAAGTGAGGTCAGCAAAAGATAATGAAGACAGTGCAAATTTTAAGGAGAATTAAACACTTGAATTTTGGAAATTATCAACCATCAAGGATTGTCTCTGTGTTGCATTGGAGATTCCTGTCCCCAAGTTGGGATACATGCATTAAAATGTCCAAAGGCAGAAAAAAAAAATAAACAAACCAACCAAACAAAAACAAAACAAGCAAACAAAAATCAGACCAAACAATATCTTGATCCCAAGAACTGTAACATGTCTTATGTTTATTACTTATACAGTGTAAATTATCCATACGTTACTTGTAGATATGATCAGATGATCACTTTTAGTAAAGAAGATGAACACTATTTATTTATTGTGCAGGCTATCTGAAAGCTGTAGGCTTTCTTACTGTAGATAAATAAATTAGTCCCCCTACAACACAGCTCTAAAGACACGGAATTGTCTTTCAATTATTTTTTATCATTTGCACAGCTTTTTAATGCAACCGTACAAATTAATTGAGTGTACACAATAATCTGGGATATCTCCCTTTTGTGCATTATCAAATATACCTTCAGTAATACTTTCTTAATTCAGTTTCACTAAGGATTTCAAATAACTCTTGTAGACAAAAGGAGAGTGAGGGATGGCATCTCCGTACAAGTGATCTGAAATTACACGCTCCAGGTTATGCAAGGAGAAGAGATAGTACCTGACTCCCTTTCAGCTTTGCATCCTGCAGGAGTGACCAGGAGCAAAGAGCTGCAAAATAATGCTCTCAATAAATCACACTGTGGGAATGTGGCTACACACAATGTGTAGATTCACTCATTAAGACCCATTTCTGAATAGGGACAGCACAGAAAATAATCTGTGCCTACACTGGTAATTGCCAAATGTTTTACTACAGCCATTTGATAAGTAAAAGCTAAACAAAGATGAAGGAGATAAAGGCAACAACAACAACACTATCATTTTCCCACACCAAGAAGGACATAATTAGAGCCAGACATAGGCAGCTACATAATTCTTACTTCAACAATACTGCCAGCTTTCCTATCTTACAGGAACCCTCAACCAATTCTGGTCTTGCACATCCTTGCAACCCAATCTAGTTCTAGGGTTCACAGCACACTAGCAGGGAAGGAGGAAAAACAAACAAAACAAAAATAAAAATGATGCGCTATCAATGAGTAAGAAATCATAGTCTTAACATTAAAGATAACTGTGAGAATCTACTAACAAGTTTAATTATATCCCTAAATCAAAATAAAAGAATTAAATCTCCACCCAGACTACAGACATTGGAAGACAGAAAAGCCTACCTCAAGAATATCTATCAGGACATTCTCTTCTGGTTGCTTTGTGCTCCGGACATTCTCCAGCAGGATGGAGTAGTAAACACCCTGTGGGTCAGACTGGTACAGGTTGTATGTGTCTGTCTGGTACCATTCCTGAACAGCCACGAATACCTGGTTTTCATCTGTGCTGATTATCTGTAAATCCTGTAGAAAAAATAATAATAATAATAATAATATAGAGAGAGAAATTACTCATTTTTTCATAATTGATACAACAAAAATAATAATCCTACAAGAAGAGCTGAATACCAGAAAGAGTAGAGGGAGTGTGGGGGGGTGGTAAAATGCACCTGAATGCTAGGTGACAGTAATCTCTCAGTCTAGCACTAATCAGCACACTGCATCCCACCACTCCAGTGTGGTTGGACAGTGCCTTCTGGACAGAGGCTATCAGAAAGAGTACAAACCAGCTTAGTGAAGACCAAAAATCATGATTGTGTGAAGGCTGCAATCTGCTTTGGCTTTTACATAATTGAATAAAAGTCATGCTTACTGGGTTTCAACATTTTAAAAAAAAAAAAAAAAAAAAAAAAAAAAAAAAAAAAAGCTTCCAAATCTAGCAATGTCATTTAGGTCCATGGGTGAGAAAGAAAAATTTTTTGCAAGCTCTGGATGACAGTTGATAGAAAACCTGTATGACTCATAACACCATATGCAAAGCTAACCTAAAAAAATAATCATCAGATACTCAAAGAAACTATTTCACATAGGACAATGCATAATATAGCACAAAGACAATCTGACACAGTTTCCAGCAGTCACACAGAGGAAGGACTATGTATTATACACACAGTTGATGTATATTATAGTCTGTAATGTTAACCTATTGACCAATGTAGAAAGATTCAGTCAAATATTCAACAGTAATAACATGAAAGTCAACATTCTACATGTACATTCATTTCTCAAGAATTTCAAGCATGGATATTGCAACAGCTTTCTTTCAGTTTCTCCAGCTCCTCCACTCCAAACTTCTTAGACATAAAAAAAAACAAAAACAAAACAAAAAAAACCCTATACAGATGGGAAAAATAATTTAACACTAACATTAAACAGAAGAAATAAATCAGGAAGTGGCATCAATGAACTAAGCTTAACAAACACGAAAAGGATGTAAGTTTGTAATTGCAGCCAAAAGGAAAAGGCAGATGTTGGGGCTACATGTGAAAGGGCTTCTAGTCATAGAGACAGAAAGCTTGTAAACTCTTCATAACCTTCTTGGTATTGCCTATACAGTTCTGGCCACCTTATTACTGAAAAAATCATTAAAGTGATGGAGTGAATAGGAAATAAAGCTACCAAAACTGTTAAGAGAACATGAGTGGAAAAAAAAAAATCAGCTTTTTAAAAAAAATAGCAATACTTCACAGAACTCTTTCTTACAGAGAAATAAAACTAAGTCTGTAAGAATCAAGTTTACACTACAGAAAATGTGAGCATGTGCAACGCTGAATACTTGGCAGAGCATGGCAGTCACACATCAGGCAAGATGCACGATGTGATTGAGAAACTTAGATTGAAAAAAGGCATTAATCGAAACAAAAGAGCACACTGGAAAGATTTTAACATGAACAAAAGATGGTTACTTACTAACTAACCATGTAGTTAATTTTTTTTCTTTTTCTTTTCTTTTCTTTTTTTTTTTTAACATATCTGACATCTCAACACAAAGGAACCTAACTGCAGTTTTCTATCAATGACAGCTCCCAGAGCTGTTTTCAAAGTCTTTCATGTTTAACTTAGTACTAAGGTAGATTTTTGTTTAACATTCCATTAGTGGATCTCTTTTTATCTTATACTCAAAAATTACTCAGAATCAGGGAGTTTGGCAGAACTTTTGATTCTTTCCATCTGAAAGTTACTAAATAGTAACTGTTCTGAGGCAAGAATGCCAGCAAAACACTTCAACTGATCCCAATGGGTTCTTTAAAAAGCTTCTTATATGTACACAGTGCTGCATCTCCTGTCTTAAACCACATCTAATATTGAAGTCACCTTTTCTTTTACAGTGTGAGAAAAGTTGCCCTGATTACCCGGAAAGTAGACAGAAGTGAAGCAGAGTCAAACAAAAGAGCGAGAAATACAGTACGTTTCTTCTTTTTTCTACATGTAAACCTCTAAAAAAACCCTTACTCTTCTGTGATGCCAGGGCTTGCAGCAAAATTATCATTTACATTATTTTGTAATTAAAGTAACACATCTATACATCCCCATAAGCAAATGCAGAACAGGCCCCTTCCGTGCCCCAGGTACACATGGAGGTACACATGGGGTGGCAGTAGTTGCACGGGTGGCACTTGCTGGCAGAGGAGATAGCAGACCAGACAGGCTCATTTATAGTTCTCATCACTCAGGCTGTTGTAGGAGCTGCAGAGCCAGTGGAAGCAAGACACAAAAAGCCAAAATGTGTGGTGCTGAATGAAAAGATTAATTTTGGAAAGACTGGAAAGATTGGGTGAAAGCATGGTTAGACTGGACTATTTTACTGCAACAAATGGAATTTACTTCTCTCTTGGCTGTGACTGTTATCAAGAAAGAGGCCCATACACTTAGCCTGTTTGATGGTATTTTTTTCTTAGGCAAGAACTTATAAGATCCTGGTTTTAGCAAGTGAAATAACCTTTCCACTTCCTTGAAATTTGCTCCTTTCACTTAGCATTTACACTTTTTGATTTCTAGTTGTACTGGGAGGTAGAAATTTCTACTGGAAATTTCCAGTTTCGCTGCTATTTCTTTTCACAGTGATTTCTTTTTCCCCAGAAAGCAAAACAGTCCTTCAGTTTTACTACCTTGCACTAATCCTGCACAGCACTTTCTGCCCACAGTTATGACATAATCCCCCCTGGGAAAATTAATTGACTAAGTAAGGAGATCTGCAAGTTCTAGATGTCTGTCTGATTCTTAAATATCCTTTAAAATGACATGGGATGTTTAAAATGTAGCCAGAAAAAAATCTATACTATGTCTCTCTTTTACTATTCCTATTGCTGTAAAACTGAATTTAAAAAAGAAAAAAATGATTAACAAATACAACAGGACTTTGGAGTGCCAAGTCCAACCCATCAGCCCAACTACCCACTGCTCACAGAGGACAAGCACATGACAGTGGGATGTCAGCAAATATTGCTAGACATAAGTTACTGCCACTAAAGAGTTAACTAGTAAAGACATCTGAAAAAGAGGTAATATCTTGATTCAGGGAATGCAAGTTTTATTGCTCTACCTAATTCATGGCCACAGATACTGCCTTAGGCTGTAATCTCAGCAGATCCTATAAGGAAAGCATTCATTCTGTGATGATTTCATGCTTGGACTGTTGCAATTGCCTTCTTTCTGGACATTGTGTTTCTCTCTCCAGATTCTGCAGGCTATTCAAAGTCCTGCTGATCATGTAATTTTCCTGTAATTGTGCTATTCACACGTGATTTATTCAAATTCATTTATAAAACATATAAAGACCTTTACTAATGTTACAACACTTCAGGATTTCGAACGTTTCTTTTTGTTTATCTCCAAGTGTGTGTGTGTTTTTTTTTGTTTTTTTGTTTTTTTTTTTTTTTTTTAAATATATATATATATGTAAATATATATGTAAATATATATATATATACACACACGTTAAATATTTGAGGTCTTGGGCTTTCCTTTCATTTCCATGCTCAAATGAGAGAGTCTGTGCTCTTTCAGGTGTTCCCAGGCAGAATCTTTCTCCAGGTTTGTCATAGCACCATGTTGCTATAGCACTTCTATGGCATGTCCATTATTCCATGGACATCCTTTCTCCCTTACTACCTACCACTTCGCTTTTGCTCAGTCCAGTTTGTCATCTCTTCTGATCTTCCATGTCTTGCCGACCCAAACACCCATGCTTTCAGCATTCTCACTTCTCTCCTTCTCTTTTTATACTTTTGCAAAGCTCAGCAATAGTAATCTGTATGAGAAATAAACTGTCCTTCCCAAATACAAAATTCCTAAGGCCAGCCAGCCAGCCAACTTTCTTCCTGCTTTATCTCATCTTTTTAGGTTGTAAGCTCCTGTGCTGCTCTGAGAATACTCACAATACTGCTAGTTGTACTATTCCAAAGACCATGAGACTTCTTGGTTCTGTTTGCTAAGGTGCTTCTTGTACAGTATGTTCTGCGAATTCCATTGACATAATGTTCCCTTCATCCTCCTCCCTTTACTGGATAATGTAGTTCCACAGATGTATCTTCATCTCTAAAAATCTGTGGAACTACTCATAGGTCCAAAACGGTGGCCAGGGCCAGGGATAGGTTTACAGTGCAACCAAAGAAGCCTACAAAGCGCTCCAAAATCCACTACTCAACTACTATACTATACAAAATCCACTACTATTGGGTCCACATAGTTGTTTCTCTATGGATGTAGAATGTATGGATGTACGGAAAGTAGACATAAAACATCCTTCAAGTAATATAAACAGCCACCCCAAGGAACACAGGTAAATTGACTCTTGTGTGAAAATGGGGAAAAATAAAAACACACCTTATTGAGATTACTTGGAATGTTGCACATACAAATAGGAACATGGTTATAAAAGACAATGTCTGTTTTTTTTGTTTTATCCAAAAGCAGTAGCAGCTAAGAGTCAGGGGTTTCTGGAGGTGAGGGCAGGAGGAATGCAAGAAGTTTAGAGGAGTGAGGGAAGAAAAATGCTTTGTTTTCACTGTATACATCCCCATACCATCTACATTTAGTAACTCAACTGCCTTTAAAACTACTAATACCTTCTAGAATTTTATATTCAATAAACACTCAATATAGTTTACTATGTTACTAACTGCTAAGAAAACCTGCACTTACTACTGTGCTAAGAAAACCTGTGACACAAATAAATAGGATTACACCCTGAAGACGGAAGGATATAAAAGATGACAAGGATCATAGAGCAAGCCAGTGCTCCTTTGTGTAAAATGTGCTGATGACATAGGAAATGTCATCAAATGGAAACACTGCAGGCAAGATTCAGAATAGGCTGTACAGTGCTACATAGACAGGGCTGTGGCACTTTAGTCACCAAGGAAGGTTCAAAAATAAACTCAAAATACTCATTTTTCAAAATTTATAATTCTTAATCCAATGTCAAAATTCCACCCCTTGCCCTGCAAATGGTTAATGCTTAG